GGGGAGAGGCCACAGCCCCGTTCACTGCCTGGAGTCATTTGGGGCGTGAGGTCCCTGCGGAGCCGGTGCCGGGCTGCTCTGCGTGGAAACTTGGGGGGTTTTCATATTAATTAGGGGTTTTAAATGAGGTTTGGGTTTGCATCATCCCGGTTAGAATAACACTTCTACACAAAGTGAGATAATTATTTGTAGTTGTGTGGGGTTTTTTTTAATCTCTAGACATTGTTCATATTTGATTTTTTTTTCTCATCGTGCATCTTTTGCCCCTTTTTCTTATATGAACTTGTCAACATTGACTGACAAAAGCTTCCTTTTTGACTCCTTAGAAGGTTAATTGAAGAGGACTTGCATATTGTTTTCTTACCGGTATACATGGGTTTTTCTCTTTAGGTACTCCGGGTGTTGGGAAAACCACACTCGGAAAAGAACTTGCATCAAGAGCGGGAATGACCTATATTAATGTGGGTGACATGGCAAAAGAAGGTAGGCCATATTAACAAAGTAGTCCGTCAGAGTACTTGAGATATTTTTGCTTTGTGTAACTCTGTGCTGGTAGTGCATGTATTATATATTAAAGTAAAAGGTAATGAATTTCTTTTAACAGAAATGTTTTTGGTGGCATGAGTTAAAAAAGCATTTATGTAACAGTAGCGTACTTTGTGTCAGGTAAAAATAACAAACTTGTCCTCGTACAGATTTGTAGACAAAGTGTTCCTTGCTGCAAACACTGTCCTTTGTTTGCATCCACCTGAAATAAACATAACAATACAACTAATTTTAATAACTGCTCTTACTTCACAAAGTTCCACAAACTATTTTTGCTGCAGGAGAACTGTACGAAGGTTTTGATGAGGAATATGATTGTCCGATTTTGGATGAAGACAGGGTAAGTCCAACTTCAAACCCTACCATTTTTGTATTTTGACTTTCTGTAATGTCAGATAAACTTGCCTATCTTTGTTTCTTTTGGAGGTAATTGATGAACTAGAAGATAAAATGAGTGAGGGTGGAGTTATTGTCGATTATCATGGCTGTGATTTTTTCCCTGAACGATGGTTTCATATAGTATTTGTACTTCGTACGGAAAATTCATTTCTGTATGACAGACTTGAAAGCAGGTATGTCAGTGGAATAAATAAGGAGTAAAGTACTGTTTTGTGATTTCATCAAAGATTTTTTTAGGGTATAAATTACTGATTCCCTGTAGAATACTTTATAGTTCTCTGCATATCTAAGCCTGTTTCTTGGTATTGTTCTTCTTTTCTAGGGGCTACAAAGGGAAAAAGCTGCAAGACAACATTCAGTGTGAAATTTTTCAGACGCTTTATGAGGAAGCTATGTTGTCATATAGAGAGGAAATTGTACACCAGTTACCCAGCAACACCCCAGAAGACCTAGAGAGAAATTTGGATCAGATTATGCAATGGATTGAGCAATGGATGAAGGACAACAATTGATATTTGGTGCAAAAGTAACTCTGCTGGTTCTCTTCCTGACAGGGTTTAATAAATGACATTCATAATTCTTGTATGATAAATTAAAATTAATTTGATTGTGATTTGATACAGTTGGGGACTAGAAGAAGGTTCAGAATAGCCAGGTTGTAAGGCTTTGGAACAGCCTCTGAAGCACTCTGGGAGAGGCGCACAGGAGAAATGACCCAAGTGAAAATTCAACAGTGCCTGAAACAATGAAAATGACACGATTGCAGCAACTAGGTTCAATAATTGAGGATTTTTTTTGAGCTTACAATTCAAACCAAACCGTTCCCACTGTCCCCCCCCCCAAAAAAGCTGTAAAATCCTGATAACTGATGGCAGTTGAGGAGCTTTTGATTTCTAAAGGATAAAACAGTGTCCTGAAAAGGAGTTAGTCTGCTCCTGAATTGTTAGACTAAACCCTGCTATACTCCACTGTATTCTTGAATGTGTGGAGGTGAAGGTAGAGCGAGAGGAGTACGATACGGTGTAAGGAGGGTGCTTCATTTTGGAAGGAAGAGAAGTGACTTGGTAAGAGAATTTTTTAAAATGATTACACAGAACTTCTGGGATTACTTACAGTATAAGGAAACTGGCTACATCTGCACTGATGTGGAATATTAAACAGTAAGTTTTCCTTCTCCTTTTTCTCTCTGTATTCTCCATCAACCATCCCAATCATGGAACATATTTAACACTGTAAGTTTATCAAGGAACTGTATCATTTGGCAGGATAACCAACCCGCAGTGATACAAAACATGGTTACACTGAAAATACTGGCAGCCATCTGTTCTAATTGCTTGTGAAGCCTGGGTCCCGTGAGAGCATGGCTGTGCACAGTGGAAATAACCTTCACTGAAAAGGTGGCTTGTAAGCCTTGTGAAAGATCCTGTAGAAAGTGCTTGCTAATAAACTTCTTGTATACGTGAGTTGGAATAGTAAAACATTGCTTGAAAATTTCTCTTGTAAAGAGTATTATGGTTACATATTTATGATTCTATTTTTTATTCAATATTTTGTATCAATTTTTTGTGAGACTTGCAGAGGAATACTGCGTCAGCAATTTGACCCTTGCATAAACTGAAATGGTGAAAAAAATGGACTTTCCTTACAGAATCAGGACCAAACATTGTGGAAACACACACATACGTGTGCTGCTTTTGAACAGCCCCTTTCAGTGTTACTGCTTGCATGGGAAACCAGGTGGATGGTGATCTCTGGTGTGTGTGCCTGGACAACACCAATTTTTGGGAATTAAGAGAATCAGAATGGTTTGGGTTGGAGGGGACCTCAAAAACTATGTAGTTCCAACCCCCCTGCCATGGGCAGGGACACCCTCCACTAGCCCAGGTTGCCCAAAGCCCCGTCCAACCTGGCCTTGAACACTGCCAGGGAGCCAGGGGCAGCCACAACCTCTCTGGGCAACCTGTGCCAGGGCCTCACCACCCTCACAGTAAAGAGTGTGAATTTATTCCTAATATCTAATCTAAATCTACCCACCTTCATCTTAAGGCCATTACCCCTTGTCCTATCACTGAGTGCCCTTGTAAACAGTCCCTCTCCAGCTTTCCTGTAGGCTCCCTTCAGGTACTGAAATGCTACTATATGGTCTCCCTGGAGCCTTCTCTTCTCCAGGCTGAACAAGCCCAACTCTCTCAGCCTGTCCTCATAGGAGAGGTGCTCCAGCCCTCTGATCAGCTTCGTGGCCTCCTCTGGACTC